CTTCGCCCCCGCCTCCTCCCCCTCCCCCCAGGAGTGGAACTCTGGGCAGGATCCACCTAACACCTTAGGAGCAGGGCCCGCCTCCTTCCGAAGTTGCAAGGGAGACTTCCTGGAGGAAGGAAGTGGCCAGACCCTCCAAAGGCAGCCAAAGCAGCCTTCAAACATTTGGTCTTTGTCAAAGCAACCGTTTTCCCCAAGACCTGCGGGCACGGTCTCGCCGCTCCACCCGCACCCATGGGCGGCAGGCGGCGCTGCTGTTCCCAAGTCTACAGCGGGGGACACCGAGGTCCCCAGAGGGCAGTGACCTGCTCGGGACCACGATGGGCTCAGCAGCCGAGCTGAGCTTTGGAGCCTGGTGCCCGCTGGCTGTGAGGGGGGCTGCGAGGGGGAGGAGGAGGCACGGCCCGGTGCCGGTGCGGCCGGGCTCCCCAGCTGCGTCCCTCCCTCACAGCCACCACCAGGCCTGTGTGCCGCTGGGGGACGCCAGCGAAAGGGGGTGCTGCTTATCTCCTGGGCCTGGCTGTCACCCGCCTCTGCCTTCAGCCCACTGCTCCCAGGCCCGGCTTTGGTCCGGTCACCTGCCCGGTCAGCAGTCCAGCACCGTCCCGTCCGTGGCTCCCCACGGCTTTGCAAACTTCAGCGGCCACATGCACAGGCCTCCCTGACCCACCTGTGCCCGCAGGTGGTCCCCTGGCCCCTCCACCCCCGCCCTTGGTCCCGCAGCTCCTCGCCCATCAGCGACCCCAGAGCTTTACCTGCCACGGCCTGGCTTCCTCCCCACAGGTCGTGCTGGGTGGGGACAGCCAGGAAAAGCCGAGCACCCGGTGAGGGCGGGAGGGAGCGGAGACTGTTCATGTCCCTCTGACCTGCTTGGTGACATCCAGTCTGTCTGTTGGGACCCTTCACCCAGGAGTTCCCTTGGGGGAGGCACGTGCCCACTCAGCTCCTGGTTCGCAGAGACGGACACAGGCGGGTCTGCTCGTCGGCAGCCCCCGCAACGGGAAGAGCCGGCAGCAGCCTGATCCTCCAGTGGGAGTCGCCTGGTCCCCACAGGACTGCAGAGGACTTCCCTGGTGCCACAGCCCCATAGTCCTCCCGCCCCGAGGTGGGTCCAAGCCCCCCCTTGAGCTCCGGGCAGCTCTGGCTGCTCCAGGCAAGAGAGGGGAACAACGGACAGACGGACAGACACGCCGGGTTCCCAGGCCCGGCCCGGCCCCCCCCCACACTTGTTCTGGGAGCCCGCATTTGTCATGCAGAGAGGCCCCATCAGGGGTCCTCAGCTGTCCCACTGGTCCCCCTGCCCTGCATTCAAGTCCGCTGGGGCCCAGCTGTCACACCCTGGAGCAAACTGTCCCAAGCCCCCGGCCCCCCGGGAGCACGCTGATGCACGGTCGCCCACCACCACCAGGTTTTGGGGGGCTGCGTGATGCGGCTGGAGGACCAGGGACCACGGCGAGTGTGACTGGGGGTTCAATGCACCGTGGCTAAGAAAGTCAGTTCTCCGCTCATGAGCACGGACACATTTCAAATGTGTGCTTTCAGGTGGAAAATGAGGGGCGGAGAAGGCTTTTGTAAAGTGGCAAGGGACAGGAGCAGGTACCCAGGGTGGCGGGGGGGGGCGGGGGCCGGGGCGGGGTGAGGACAAGTGGGATTGGGATGAGAGACCACGGAAGAGAAACGAAGATACAACTGAAATTGAAAAGCGGACATTCTTTGAGACTATTCCCAGAGAAACAATTTATTAAAATGAAACCCAGCAGGCGGTGGCTGTCCCCAAAGTGCGCCAATCACCTGCGAGACCAGCCCCGCACCAGGCCACAGGCATGCCGGTGACGAGGCACAGTCCCTGTTCACCGTCCAGGCGAGAAGCGCAGAGGGTGTCTTCTCGGACCCTCTGCTGGGATGGCGAGGCGGCCAGTGTGGCCGGAGAGGCGGTGTCGGGAGGGGAGGGAGGAGGCAAGCAGGCGGGGAGGGAGGGAGGGCGAGGGCGGCTGTGGCTTGGGGGTGGGGGTGCGGGTCCCTCAGACAGGGAGACACAGAGGGTGCCGCGGTCGCTCTGAGGCTCCCCTTCTCTGCCCAGAGACTCCTGCGGCGTCGGGGTTCTGCCCACTGCGCTCCGCGCTCGTGGGAACACCAGAAATCCCGCTCAGAGTTGGGGGGATCAGTCTGGAGAGTGTCCCCAGGCCGAGACCGGTCTGGGGTTGAGAAAAGCCGCGCTCTCAGCTGCGGGCCTCCTCTGGCCGGGCACAGCTTCGGCGACAGCAGAGCCGAGGCGCCGCATCCTCGCTGGGCCTCAGTGCTCCTCTCCTGGACGCGGAGCAGAGACGAGGTCCGGGCCGGCACCGCGAGGCGACTTCACGCCTTCCTAGCCAACCCCATGCTGCAGGGCGACCATCTGACAGTGGTCTGCGTCCTGACTCCAGTCGCCACAGTGGCGGGTGGTCGGAAGCGCCGAGGGGCCAGAGGTGCAGGGACCCACCGTTGGGGCACCAGCCGTTGCCTGCTGCTGCCCCGCGGTCAGGGACGGGCCCTCTGCAGCCCCCAGAAGGCCCACTCCCCTCTGCTTGGCTCACCTCGCCCCCTGGCCTCCCATCCCCCGCAGGCCCGGAGAGGCGGTGAGAGGGGAGACCTGCCTCCCCCACGCCCGGCTGCACCCACCCTCCACTCCCAGCAGCCCAGCGGGGACAGGGCACTTATTGGCGCCGTTTATAGGAGACGGGAGAGGATCAGAGCGGGGAGCCCCTGCCCCCAAGGCCAGCGGCCGGGGCTGAGAGGATGAGCACTCGCTCTGAGGAAGCCCCGCTCCGGAGGTGCTCAGACAGATTGGGGGGTGGCCCCAGTTCTCAGGCTCGGGCGTCCCAAAGGGCGCCGAGGGGCAGGCTCCTGGGAGCACCCAGGGCAGCTTAGTGGAGTGGCTGTTATTTGGGAGGCCCTCCTCCCCACAGCGGGGCTTTTCTCCGGCCCCTCTTTGGCCTCGGTTTCCCCACCTGTCAGAAGCCCTAGGATTAGCCGGTGACCAGCCAGGAACTGGTACTTCTTTTTCCAGTCGGAGAGCTCACTCCCCCTAGTCTGGCCCCTGGGGCTGAGGTGCCCCAGGGGGTGAGGCAGTGCTGGGGGGCGGGGGTCACAGCTCTACCCAAGGCCGCAGCTGGGTGTCCTCATCTACAAGCGCAGGGGCGCCGCACCTCTGCGAGCGCCCCCAGGCCAGAGTAGCCTCGGGGGTCTGCGTCACTGAGGCCTTTGCCCCGCCTGGCGCAGGGTGTGAGGGACCGAGGCGCCGGGTCCAGCGTCTGGTCCTGGGTCGGCAGAAAAGGCCCCTCTCACCCGAGGCCGCCGTCACCGGGCAGCCGCGGGCGAGCAGGCAGGCCGTCCGTCAGGACGCGCACCGTTGCGGCTCGGTGGCCGCAGGCCGGCAGGGTCCCCGCCGGGCTCAGCCCGGGGCGCACGGCCTCCCCTTCCACCTCTGAGCTCTCCCATAGGATGAGGGGCGCCGGCAGCGCGGAGAGAACCCCAGACCCTGAGTGAGCAAATTCCCGGAGCCCCTTACCCCCTGGGATGCTCTGCCCTCGCCCTTGTTTCCCCTCCGGGAAACGAGGGCGCTCCGTCCGCCGCAGCCGCTCGGGGAAATTAAAGCGAGTTGGCAGCCCCGGCCAGCAGACGCCCGCGCCCTCGGGGAAGCCGGCAGCACGCGGGCGGGCTGCGGCCCCTGGCCGGCCCTAGGCGGCGGGATGGGTCCCTCCGCGGTAACCCGCGTCCGGTGAAGCCGCTCGCCCGCGCGGCCGGGCTGCGACCCGGTGTCTCGACTGCCACCGATCCCGGGGGCCCCGTTCAAAGGCTGTTCACTCCGGAGCAGCCCCAGCTCTGAGGCGGGAGGCGCGGGAGAGACACGCGTGCGCCCCGCGCTCCCTGCCGCGGAAAAGAGAAGCTCCCCAGGATTTCACGGTCACAGAAGCGGAGGCTCAAGGAGGGACGCGGCCTGCTCCCCAACCCGGCCTCCGCGGAGGGGCAGCGGCTGCCCCGAGCGCCCGCCTCCTGCAAAGCCAGGGACGCGGGGAGTGGGACGGGACCAGCCCTCACCCTGCGTGACTTCACGCGCGACCACGGTGGGGGCAGCACTTTCTTATGCTGCGAGACTGAGCCTGCCTGGGGATCAGAAGGCTCCGTCACACCGCACTGGCATTACCGTGTTTCAGTAGCCTGAGTGAGAGTTCGCCCCAATTTTGCATGACATTCGGGGTCTTGAAAAAAGTGACTGCAGTCCAGCCTCCTGCGGTTTCTTGGGAGCCCCGGGATCTCACGCCCCCCTATACACCCGCACATGTTGACACCCACGCACTCACGCGCACACCCCGCGCGCGCGCGCACACACAGTTACTCACGCTCGGCCCAGCACTCCCCAGTGGCGAGGTAATTACGGCCCTCGCCGGACGATGATTGGCCAGCCTGTTTCTCCTCGGGCCCCGCAGCCAATGGGCGGTCGCCCGGCCGAGGTCCCACCTCCGCCACCATCGGCGCGGGTGGCGCGAGCCCTGGGCATGGATCGCGCGAGGCCGGCCCGCCGCGACTCGCCGCCTGGGTCCCCGGCCGCGCGACCGCCCGCGCGCCCGGACCCCGCAGCGCCCCTGGGCAGCGGCCGCGCGGGGGTCGGCGGCGTCGTCCGCGGGCTGAACCGGCGGCCCGCCTGACCGCGCCGCCCCGCCCCTGCTGGCTCCTCCTCCTTCGCTCCCCGCCCCCAGCGGGGCCGGCCCGGGCGGCGACCAGAGCGGCGACGAGAAAGGCGAGCTCGGCTGCGGTCCGGCCGGCTGTCGGCGCGCACCCGCTCCCGGCCCGGCCCAGTGCGGGGCCCGACGCCAGCGCTCCGGCCAGCGGCTCCAGGGTCGGCCGGTGCGTGCCCCCGGGAGCCGCGCGCCCCTGTTCCCAGTGGGGACAGGAACCGGCCGCGCCCCGGGCGCCCGGGACCCCCGAGGAGCCCGGCAGAGCCCGACGGGCCCGCAGCCGCGATGCCGGACGAGCTGACAGAGCCCGGGCGTGCCACGCCGGCCCGCGCGTCCTCTTTCCTCATCGAGAACCTGCTGGCGGCCGAGGCCAAGGGCGCCAGGCGCGCGGCCCAGGGCGGCGGCGGCCGCGAGGACGAGGAGGACGACGACGACGACCCGGAGGACGAGGACGCGGAGCAGGCGCGGCGGCGGAGGCTGCAGCGGCGAAGACAGCTGCGCGCGGGCTCGGGGCCCGGCGGGGAGGCGCGGGCGCGGGCTCTGCTCGGGCCTGGCTCGCTGGGCCTGGGTCCGCGGCCGCCCCCCGGCCCCGGGCCGCCCTACGCTCTGGGCTGCGGCCGCGCAACGCGCTGGTACCCGCGGGCGCACGGCGGCTACGGAGGCGGCCTCAGTCCCGACAGTGAGTGCGGGCGCGTGGATGGGCGGGCCAGACCGCGGGGTCCGCAACCTCCCCGCGCATCTGCTGCGGGGACTTTGTTTTCGTCTGCGCTCTTTTTGGGTCGCGCTCCTCTTGCTCGTGGCTGGGTGCGGGTCGTGTCTGGCCCCAGCAGAGACGGTGGCTTGGCGGGTTTGGAGGTCCCCTCTCGGGGAGAGGCTGTCCCCGCCCGGGGGGAGGTCTCACAGAGCCCGGGTTTCACCCAGTGCCAGGCCCCACGGTATTAAGGAGGCCGGGGAGCCGCGGAGAGGAACCGGGGGAGAGGGGAGGACAGACGGCTGGAGAAAGAGATCAGAAGAGGGAGTGGAATCCGATTGGTAAAGACAGAGGAGAGAAGGGAAGACGGGGATGCCCGGGAGCCGAAGAGAAGGGATGTTGGCGGAGAAAAGCTGAGAACAAGACACAGAAAAGGAAACCCGCTGGCGAGGGAGGGAAGAGAGAAAGGGTACAAGGAAGAAAGGAAGGAAGGAAGGACAGAGTAGACTGTCAGAGGCAGAAGGACGCAGGCGCCCAGCCGGGGAGCCACGGCTGCGAGGGGCTCGCCCGGGAGAAGAGGGCCTTCCCCAGCTCTGTGCCCTGAGGCCCCGGCCCTCGGAGGTGGCTGCGGGGTGCCCGGTGCGGGGAGCCCGCAGCTCCGAAGCCCCTACCTCACCCCTCCCTTTCTTTCTTGCTCCTCCCCCTCTCCTGCCTTTGTTCCCTGCTGAGGGTTGGGGGCTGGGAGTGGGGGTTCTCAGCCTCAGAACCCCCTCACTCGCACCCCCGAGTCATGTTCCCCTTCCCCAGGGCTGCTGCCTCCCTTGGGGAGGTGCCCTGTGCAGGGAGATACCTGGGAGGGAGACCAGAAAGCCATTCCGTCCAGGCCCCCAGGCTTTGCCGGCCCCCGCACCCCCAGAAGGCGCATTCACTCTGTGCAGCCGGCTCCCCAGCTCCTGGTTCTGGGGCTCCCGCCTGAAGCCCTTCTGCTCTGGGGCCTGCCCCCGTGTGCCCTGGTAGGTGGCCACAGACCTCTCCCCGCTTGGGTAATCCCCTCTCCGGTGTGTTTGGGGGACCTAGTTTCAGGGGATACACTCAGAAAGTCCACATCCCTCTTGTAAGTGTGAGCAGGTCTGAGTGCCTTCCCTGAAGGCAAGGGATCAAATGCAGGGCCGTCCTGAGGTGTGGGGGTGTTTTCGGAAGAAGGCCTTGAAGGGTAAAGTCCTTCCCCTGCCGCCGCCCCCACCTGCAGCCCCCGCCCCAGCCAGTTCCAGGAGGCTGCTGGGCCCCTTATTTCGTGCGATGCGGGTTAAGGGGTAGGGTCCCCGTTTGCACCAGAGCTGGTGAGCCAGCCCCGCGCCTTAGTGCAATTCACGGGCCTCTTCGCGTCTGGGGGTGTGGGGTGTTGTGGGGCGTTGTGGGGAGGCAGAGGCTCCCTGTCTGGTGGCAGGTGTGCCAGGCTGGAGCTCACCCTCTGCGGGCACCGTGCGGGCTTAGCCACCAGGGTTGGGCGGGAGCCCACACAGATCCGCACACCTCGGAGGGGCACCGGGCGGTGCATCCCAAGCCTCCACACAAGCCCACCGGTGCGGACGCTCCCGCCGGGAACCCGCCGATGCCCGGCCCACGGCCTTCTGAGAGCTGTCTGGCCAAACTCCAGCTGGACCACCAGCCCGGGGACCTTCGCACCGCGGCCCAGGCCAGATGGAGGGGCAGGCCGGCCTGAGGGGGCCCTGCACTCAGGCCTTGGCCTCTCGGGGCCAGGCCTGGAACCGGAGCCCTGCATGGCCTCGGGCCGGAGTATCTCCTCACCTCTGGGGGGCCAGGTGGAGTGGAAAGCCGAGCTTGGAGCACCGGGTCAGTGGGGGGCCCCCTGCAGACTTCGGACCCTGAACGCCCGCCCTGCCCCCATGCATGACCTGTGGGTTTGGGTGGCACGTGGAGGCGGCGTGTGTCTGCGAGCACCGTGTGTGTGGGTTCCCTGGGAGCGAGGCTGTCGGCTGCAGGGCATGTGCTGGGACGTCTGGGTTCGGGGTCAGGCCCTAGGGGTGAGTGGGCACCCCCGTGGCCCCTGGGCCGGGGAGTTTCCCTCGGGGGCTGTTTGCGGTGTCTGCCTCCCTCCTGCAGCGGCCTTTCTGTGCACGCGGGAACTCCCTCTGCCCTGAAAGTGCGCAGCGGCGGCCGCGGCGCAGCGGCTCCAACTCTGGGTGCTGGCGCGGCTGGGCGCGGCGGGGGCCTCTGTGCTGTGTTCTGCACACACAGCACGTTTCTCTGAAGGACATTGGCCTCCTGTGAGGGGGCCTGCGGGCCTCTGAGTTTTGACACTTTTCCACGGTGACAGGAAGCCCGTCTTCTGCTGTGCTTCCGCCTCGTGTGTCCCTCCTGTCTCCTTCGCTCTGTCTCCCGGTGGCAGTCTGGCCAGTGCGGCGCAGGGGCTGGCGTTCGGGCCGCGCCGGTCGCCCCGCCTCTCCCCAGCCCCCCTGCGACGTGCGCGCTGCGAGGCGGCCGTGCGCTGCGGGTGCCGCGGGAAGCCGGCGGCTGGGCCAGGAGTATTGCCTTGCTGAGTGTTGCCTTACCTGTAGCAGTGTGTGACCGCGAGGTGTGCTGGGCACAGATGGCGTCAGTGAGCGGGCCTGGGGAGCAGCCTGCGCAGCCAACCGTGTGCCCCTCTCTCCTCTGCAGCCAGTGACCGGGACTCACCGGAGACCGGCGAGGACATGGGCCGCGCCGAGGGCGCCTGGCAGCGGGGCCCCGGGCCTGGAGCGGTGGTGCGGGAGGCCGCGGAGCTGGCGGCGCGGGGCCCGGCCGCCAGCGCGGAGGAGGCGGCGGAGCTGGCGGAGGCTCCAGCAGCGGCGGCGGAGGCACGCGGCGGCGTGGCGGTCGGCGGCGGGCGAAAGAAGAAGACGCGCACGGTCTTCTCGCGCAGCCAGGTCTTCCAGCTGGAGTCCACCTTCGACCTGAAGCGCTACCTGAGCAGCGCCGAGCGCGCCGGCTTGGCGGCCTCCCTGCAGCTCACCGAGACGCAGGTCAAGATCTGGTTCCAGAACCGCCGCAACAAGTGGAAGCGGCAGCTGGCGGCGGAGCTGGAGGCGGCCAGCCTGTCCCCGCCGGGCGCGCAGCGCCTGGTGCGCGTGCCGGTGCTCTACCACGAAAGCCCCCCGGCCGCGGCCGCCGGGCCCCCCGCCGCGCTTCCCTTCCCGCTGGCGCCGGCCGCGCCCGCGCCGCCCCCGCCGCTGCTCGGCTTCTCCGGGGCCCTGGCCTACCCGCTGGCCGCCTTCCCGGCTGCCGCCTCCGTGCCCTTTCTGCGGGCGCAGATGCCCGGCCTGGTGTGAGCCCCGCCCGTGGGCCGCTCCCTGCAGCCGCCGCTGGGAGCTCTGCGGACGGCCGTGCAGCCTGGTGGCGCCAGGGCACAGGGGGTGCGGGCCCTCCAGGAGGAGGGTGCACCCTCTTGGCCTTGGGAGGCGAGCTTCGGCCCTGGCAGGCAAGGCTCTGCCCCAGGCTGCCCCCGAATGGAACAGGGACGCTACCTACCGACAGTGGCTCCCCTCACAGTTGTGAGGGTGAAATCTCCCCTCCCCCAGGGAAGAGGCCATCACAGGGAGACAGGCCATGCTGCCCAGAGCGCCTGGGGGACAGGCCTCAGCCTAGAAGTCAAGTTAGCCGTCCCCTTGGGAGCCGGCGCTGGGCCAGCCCGCAGCAGGGACCACCGGGGTGCTTCAGAGGTAGTCCCCTACCGGCACAAACGTCCCCTCCCGGGACCACGCAGGGACCGGCGTGGCAGGCCGCCTGAGGGTCCTGATCAGCCTCCTGGCCTGGCCGCTGGGGAAGGGCCTGCGGAGAGACAGCCCGGGGAAGGGGCCCCCGCGGAGGGGCAGCCGGCCGGCGGGGCGTCTCAGACCCTCGCTTCAGCAGACAGGGCCACACTGGGGCTCCTCTCTGGGGCCGCGGCCTCCAGCAGCGAAGTTGTTGTTTTCTTTTTTTTTTTTTTAATGAATCTACTTATTTGCGTATGGAATAAAAAGGGACGTTTTCTGGATGGTTCGGCTGCTTTGTGGTCAGTGGGGCGGGCCCTCCTCTGGGAGCCCCGATGGCTGGCTTGCCTTTTCTGCCTCTGGAGCGCTTCCCAGTGCTGACCGGGCAGAAGGAAGGCAGAGCCCCCCTCCAGGGGCAGGGGCGGCGTGTGGGAGCCTGAGGTCTGGGGGTGCACTCTGACCTCCCCTCCCTCCCCTGACTGGGAGGCCCAGCTGGGCCACAGAAGAGGTGGGGCAGGGGAGGGAGCTGGGGAGAAGGACGCAGAGTTTTGAGGTCCCCACGGAAGCCAGCAGCCACCAGGCAGGTGAAGGCGAACCGATCAGCCGCTTCCTTTGGCACGGGGCTGTGTGGTACCCTGTCCCCACCGTCCCCTCCTGCACTGCAGTTGAGAGGCATCTCTACCCAAATGGATTTTTTTCTTTCGACTAAAACGAAAACCCTGGCACCCTAGCAACGTCGGGGGAGGGATACTGAGCAAGGGCCTGGGTGTCACCGCGCCACCCCCCACCCCGCCCTGCCATCTGCAGTCGCTGGCGAGCGGGGGACACGGACCGACCACAGGCACAGGCCGGCTCAGGGCCGGGCCTGTGGGGCTCGGGGAGAGCTCGCTCCGGTGGCCGGGATCTCGGAGGCCGCCCGCCCCCGCCAGCCCGGTCCAGCGCCTGCCCGGTGGAGAAGGGTCCCAGTACGGGGCTGCGCTGTATTGTGTCGGCTTTTCCAGCCTGGGGAGAGGTCATTTGGGGCCCCATTGAGCCCCCTCGCAAACCTCCGTGGGGGCCTCAGGCCCAGAACAGGCTCCCCTGGGCCAAGACGCACAGCGACCCCCCCACCCTGTCGCACCCCAGCCCTCCCAGGGGAAGGCGCCACAGGGGTCTCCCCCACCCTAGGCAGCTGGTCTCTTCGTCTCTCCCTACCGTCCAGCCTTCCGACCAGCCATCGTCCGCGCCTGTCCCTTCCCTGCGCCCTGAGGCCGGGCCCTGCAGGCTCCCGGGGAGCAGTGGTGACCGGCAGTCACGGCATCCCCGGGCCCTAAGGTCTCCCCTCCGGGCTCCCAGTGCCGGATGCCCGACGGGGTGAGCACCTTGAGGGAAGTGGTTGTCCACCCTCCCCCGCAGCCCCCACCCAGGGGCGCTGTTGAACTACCATCTCCCCAACTCGGCCTGCCCTCCGCCCTGCCAGGCTCGGCCCCCTTCTGGGGGGGGGGAACAGGTAGCGGGGAAACACTCCGCTCTCAGCTGCTGAAACTCGTCATGATCCTAGACCGGACGTAGGATCTGCTTCAAGGAAATGAGTCGAGTTTGCAGGCCTTCGCCCGGTCAGCGAGGTGCCAAGGGGGCTCCTCCTGGCCACTCCAGGGGCGGTGCCCCCCATCTCTCTCTGCTCCCCCCCAGGACTGCACAGCCTTGGCTCTGGCTCTGCCTGCGACCCTTGTGCTCTGCGGCTTTGGTGGCAGCCCCTGCATTCAGCGGACACCTCAGCGCCAGCACGCCTTCAGGCCCGGCTCCCATGGCGGGCTTCCTGCAGGCGCAGGGCCGCCCGGCTTCTGCCCTCTCTCTGCTGGAAGCCAGCTGGTCGGGTGCTCCACGCAGCACGCGCCCGCGTCTCTGACGGCCATGGGATTTGGGGGTGCCGAGGTCACAGGGCTCTCAGACTGCAAATGGGATCATCGTCACCGAGCTGAAAGGAGCCATCACCGCCACGCGGCCGTTTTATTTGATTGTGGCCCACGTGGCTGCCATCTCGCAGCCCCAAGATGACGCCGTGGCTTCGGCAGGCGCTGCGTGAGGTGTGTTGCCTGGGTCGGCAGGCGGGTCTCCCTCAGCTGCAGGCGGGACCACGGCAACCAGAGGAAGGCGACCCCTGAGGCCGGGAGCCCGTGAGGCGTGCAGGGCGAGGAGCGCACGGGCGCCGCGGCCAGAAGCCCCTCCAAGGAGCGGAGAAACAGGCCCCCGGGGTCACAGGGAGGGAGGGTCTGTGCGGCCGCAAACGCGGAGCGGATCCGGAGAGAAGGGCTGTGTCTGTCTTTCCATGGAATTGGTGAAAGTGTGGACTGGCGAGCAGCCAAGGAGCGTGCGGGCTTTCCCAGGCGGGTGGATGGGGCAGCCGGGGCGGGCGGGGCGGGGAGGCCGCTGCCCTGCACGGAAGGCCGGGTTTCTCTCCTGAGCTACTGCCCAGGCACTGGAGCGCAGATACCTGGGCTCAGGGAAGCCGGCTCTACCCCATGAGGACCTGGCGTCCTGGGTGCTGCCCAGGGCAGCAGGACCAGAGCGGGGGCGGCGGTCACCAGTGGCAGAGCAGGCCCTGGTGGCACCAGGCTGGAGACTGCGGAGCCCCGAGCTCCAGCACCGTCGATTGCTCGCCAGCCTCGGCTTGTGGGCTCCGTCCCTGGCAGAGGAAGGGTGGCTCTGACCTGCCTCCGCCCGCCTGCCCGCCCCTCCCGAGCCGGCCCCTTGGGGCTGCAGGTCGCAGAGTCCCTGAGCCCAGGGCAGGCCCAGCTGCGGTCCCCCAGTGACCTTGAGCAAGACCCTTCTCTTCTCCAGGCCTCAGTTTCCCCATCGCAGACCTGGGCTGGGGGTCTGTAAGCTGTGAGTGGTCAACTTTCCCTGACCTGCTCGGGTGGACCAGGAGCCCAGGCCAGCGCCAGGGCGACACCCTCCCAGGCTGGTCCAGGGCGCACCAGGGTGTGGGTCTGGAGGAGTAGCCAGCCCCTCTGGGCCTCTCTGTCCCCTGCTGGGTAGTACCAGAGCCACGTCCTCAGCAGCGCCTTCCTGGGGGAAGCTGGAGCAGCAGCTGCCCCCAGAGCTCATCCCTCAGGGACCCGCCAGCAAGAGCTCCGGGCAGCCCTTCTTCGGGTCAAGGGGGAAGGTGGACTTGCCGTCTGACCACGACCCACAGCCGGGTCCTGTTCTGGTCAGAACCAGACCTGCGCCCCCATCCCCAGGTGCTGCCTCCTCCTGCCCTGCCCCCGCCCCAGCCGCCCCTTCAAGCCCCGGGCTGGCAGCAGCCAGCCGGCAGCAGGGGTCTCTCCTGCCTGTCCCCTTGAAAGCGCTGGTGAGGGACTGACCTGTGTCGTGGGAACCGCCCTGCGAGCTGGCAGATTCCACCACCTCCACTCTCCGCACCCATCTAGGCGTTCCTGCGCACCCAGGGCCTCCCAGGACCTCCCCCCGGCAAGCAAGCCGGGAGGAAGTTTTCCCGAAGCCCAGTGTCCCAGCTTCCCCAGGAGGGGAGCATCCAGGAGGAGGAGGAGGGGCTGGAGCCGGACAGGGGGCAGGGAGGGCATCAAGAGGGGGCAGGCGCGCGAGGCCGGCTTCTCTCCTTGTGCCTGTAGGTCTCCCAGCACCGGGCCGGCCTTCTGGCCTGTGCGATTCTCAGAAAGGGAAACTGAGGCCCAAGAAGAGCGGGGACTCTGGAGCAGGAGCTCTGTGAGGTCGCTCGGCCTGCCCCCTTGGCCCCTGAACCCCCTCCCCCCACCCGGTGCTGGGGAGGTCAGCCGCCCCGCCCTGCACAGGGAGCACCCAGGTGTCGCCCCGCCTGTCGGAATCACCTGGACAACTCCCTGTGGCCGCTCCCCTTCTGGTGGTCAGGGCAGGCGTCCGCCTCGCTGCTTGCCTGGAGCAGGGTTCCTGCTGGGAAGTGGGGTCCTGCCTCTTCAAATCCTCACCCCGGAGCATTGCCTGGCCAGGGGCGTCCACCCTTTTGGCGTCTCTGGGCCGGGCTGGGAGAAGAGCTGCCTTGGGCCACACATTAAATACATTGCGACAGGTAATCACACACACACAACAAAAACTCATGTTTTTAGTGAATTTATGACTTTGCGTTGGGCCACGTTCATAGCCACACTGGGCCGCGGGTCGGACGCCCCCGCAGCCCCTGCCTTCTAAGTCTTCCAGGGGCGACTCCGCCACGGCCGCTGCACAGCCCCGCTCCCACTCAGAGAAGGGGAGGCAGACGCCCCCTCCCAGGTGAATGGAAAGGGGGCCGCCGGCCCTCGCAGCACCAGGGTCTGAATCTGCAGCGGACACGCGGGACCACGGTGCCAAGAGAAAATCGCGAACCCGGTGGCCACATGGGCTCCTCAGTCCGGAGACCCGGCTGCCTGCTGGGCCCTCGCCAGCTCCCAAAGGCGTGGGCCTCGAACCCGTTTCCTCGATCACATAAGTAACAGTGTGTATCTCCCCAGCCAGGCGAAGATAGAAATAAGTTGTCTGCATTTGCACCATCGGAAAGCCAACTGCTTTCAAGCATCAGGCCAGGCAGTGGACTTACTGTTGTTTGAAAAACATTGTCGGTTCGAGAC